TACCAGATGGTGCCCTGTCCCTGAGAGAGTAGGTCCTCTCTCAAAGGGATCCGCCAGGGGAGGGCCGTCTCGAGGAGTGAGAGCTCTGATATCCAGGTCCGGTTGGGCCAAAGGGGCGCAACTAACAGAACCTGTTCCTCATCCTCCCTGACCTTGCACAGCAACTGCGCAAGCAGGCTCACTGGGGGAAACGCATACTTGCGCATGCCCCGAGGCCAGCTGTGGGCCAGTGCATCCGTGCAGAGAGAGCCCTCAGTCAGGGAAAAAAACAACTGGCAATGAGCGTTCTCGGGGGAAGCAAACAGATCGATCTGGGCCTCCCCGAATCGCGCCCATATCAGCTGAACAGACTCGGGGTGGAGTCTCCATTCTCCAGGGTGTAACAGCTGTCGTGAGAGCGCATCGGCTGCACGATTGAGCGTGCCTGGAACGTGAATGGCGCGCAGTGATTTCAGCCGCGGGTGACTCCAGAGGAGCAGACGGCGGGCGAGCTGAGACATGCGGCGAGAGCGCATACCCCCCATGCGGTTAATATACGCCGCCGCCGCCATACTGTCCGTCCTGACCAGCACGTGTTGCTGCTCCAGCACCGGTAAAAAGCGGTGGAGAGCGAGGAACACTGCCAACAGCTCTAGGCGATTGATATGCCCTAACCCTGTTCACAATCAATTGCTCCCGCAAGTGGGCTAAAATCAGCCAGTTGTCGAGATAATTGAGTATGCGGATGCCCGCGAGCCGAAGGGGCGCTAAGGCACCCTCTGCGAGTTTGGTGAAGACCCCCGGAGACAGAGAGAGTCCGAAGGGGAGGACCTTGTACTGCCACGCTCGACCCTCGAACGCAAACCGCAGAAATTGGCGGTGGCGTGGAAGAATGGAGACATGGAAATACGCGTCCTTCAGGTCTATGGCTGCAAACCAATCCCGAGGACGAACGCATTGGAGAATGCGCCTCTGCGTGAGCATTCTGAACGGCAGCTTGTGCAGACAGCGGTTCAAAACGCGCAGATCTAGGATTGGTCGTGACCCACCGCTCTTTTTGGGTACGATGAAGTATGGGCTGTAAAACCCACTCTCCATCTCGGCTAGAGGAACTGGCTCGATTGCACCCTTCGCCAGGAGGGCAGCAATCTCCTCTCGCAAGACAGGGGCAGACAGGGGGTTGACCCTGGAGAAATACACGCCCGTGAACTTGGGGGGCCGTTTCGCGAACTGAATCGCGTAACCGAGTCTGATTGTGCGTATGAGCCACCGCGAGGGGCTGGCCCGCGCTAACCAGGCAGGCAGAGCCCTCGCTAATGGAGTCATCGCTACAATCGCTGACGTACCAGCGGTGGGGCAGCGCGGAGTGGGTGTGCTGATCCGGGAAGCACGAGGGTCCCGCGGAAGAGCTGGAGGAGAGCGATTCGCTCTGGCTCCGCACCCTGACTCCGGAGAGAGGGCTGGAGGGCTGAGGGAAGGGAGACCCCCTCCCCAGCGCTCGTGAGCCACTGGCGAATCACGTAGAATCTGCGAGCCGGAAGGCAGCGCGTCCCGGACTGGCAGAATTCATGCTGTCACATCCGGGTAAGGGGAAAAGTGCTCTTTGATAGATGTTTTGGTGGCACTGAAAAGTACCGTTGTAATCGGGGCCCCGCCCTCCAGCGGGGAAAGAGCAAGTTTCCTCTTCTCCGGATGGCCTGTCTCAGGGACGCTTCGCGGTCCGTTTGCCGGACTTAACGGCGCTCTGGGCAGCGGGGGCTGCCTGCTTTCGAGGTGTACGCCTCGCCCGCTTGGCCGGAGGCGCAGGCAGTGGCGGGACAGCACTCGTTGGCGGGCGCCCTCGGCGAGGAACAGGGGAGGTGGATGGCTCGGCGGGCGGAGCGGGCTTACGGCCACGCCGATAGATGACATTGCCCATCGCATCCGACTGCTCTTTCACCGCCTTGAATTCCTGGGTGAATTCACCGACGGTGACGCCGAACAGGCCAGCCTGGGATATGGGCAAGTCAAGAAAGCGAACTTTGTCAACATCGCGCATATCGGCCAGGTTTAGCCAGAGGTGGCGTTCCTGAACCACAAGTGTGGACATCGTCCTCCCCAGCGCACACGCGGCGGACTTTGTAGTCCGAAGAGCATAGTCGGTCGCGGTGCGCAGCTCATGTAATAAGCTTGGGTTAGACCCGCCCCCGTGCAGCTCGGCCAGCGCCTGAGCTTGGTAGCGCTGGTAGGTGGCCATCACGTGCAAAGCAGAAGCAGCCTGGCACGCAGCCTTATAAGCTCTGGCTCCGAGGGAGGCAGACAACCTACAGGCTTTGGACGGGAGGCGGGGCAAACCCCGCCACGTAGAGGCGCCGCGCGGACAAAGATTGACCGCGATAGCGCGCTCCACTGACGGGATCGCCTCATACCCCCTGGCAGCTCCGCCGTCAAGGGCGGTGAGGGCGGAGGGACACACAGCACGAGCAGAGAAAGGTGCCCTCCAAGACTCCGTGAGCCTACTCTGCACTTCCGGGAAAAAGGGGACGAGAGGCTTTGAAGGCTTTGCCTTCTGGTCCTCTACGTAGCACCCATCTAGTCGGTCCGGCCGCGGAGCTGGGGGATAAACCAGCTCCAACCCCACAGCCGAAGCAGCCCGGGAAAGCACGGCTAACATGTCCGCTTCAGGATCCGATTTGACGGCGCTCACCTGCCCGGAGGGGGCGAGCGGGTCCGGATCTTTGTTGGACAGTGAAAGCCCACCCTCCCTACCATCTGGTTAGACGGATCACTCCCACTACCCGAAGCTTGGATGGAGCGCCGTGAGGAGCGAGAGGTCCGCGAGCCCTTGGGCGGCGGATAATCTCCCACTGGAACCCTCAGATCTGCCCGAGCGCCCGCTGCTTTTTTAGAACAGGAGGCAACTGGGGTGGCTCGCTCTCTTACTAAAGTTAGCCGCGATCTTAGCTGTGCAACGGTCATGGCATCGCAATGACGACATGAACCGCCCGCGAGCACCGCATTAACATGCTGGACCCCCAAACATGTAATGCAGTGATCGTGTCCATCATCCGGAGCCAGCAAACCCCCGCATCCAGAAACGCACAGTCGGAGCGCCATCCTGAAAAAGGATGTACTGCACGACTGTGTTGCTCTTTTAGGAAAGTTGCAACAATACGCACCGCTCTGGAGGACCGGACCCAAAGAACCGCAGGCAAGGGAGAAACCCAGCTCGACCGTCTGCCGCCGCGAAAACCCACTCTGGACCGGGAGACACTCGTTCGCTCTGAAGTGCTGAACAGCAAGAGGAACCCTCATCGACTCACTCAGAAAGGCTCTGAAGCGAAAAGGATGGCGTTTGCTTGCTTCAGGTGTGCTTATATGCTGGGATAATTGGCGCTGCAGCACACCTGCGCAAGCTTACGCTGCCAATTCATTTTCATTCATTGGCCCGTTCAATACTCTCCAGACAAGCAGCTTCTGATCCGAATCTCCCATTCGTGGATTTCAATCAATCCACTCTATGGCACTGAAGTTCCCCAACCGAAGGGGAACTTTATTTATTTTGGATGGTGAAAGCAAAATTCTCCTACAAGAGTGATTATAGCGCCTCCTGATGGTGAATGCGGTGATACTCATGGCAGGTATTATTTGATAATTTTGTCATTTATTTTGCTGATTTGGCAACCATTAAACGTCATCAGGGAAATGGTTTGATTTTCCGCTTAGTTAAAAAACATTAGTGTGCCATTTGGGACGCCACTACATTCATATACTATCCTGTTGAGTGTGTAAGTGCATAAGTACATTGTGCATGAGTGCATAGTGCATAGTGTGCCATTTGGGATGCAGCTATTGTTTTCTTTCAATTTACTTACTAAGGGCTCTATTTTGAAATTCTGAAACCATTCAGGACGTGTCAGAATACACTTTTATTATTTTAAGGATGGAAAAATCCGCTTTGCGCCGTGGTGCATGGTCTGACAGGGTTGAGCTTATTCGCTTAATGAGTTATAGCTGTGTTTTGAGAATAAACCAATCGGACTCTCTTCTCCCATTTCCTTTAGGAGCCAGTTGCATCGCGCCATTGTGTATTTGCTATTTACATGATGACTTTGTAAGTGTAAAAGCTAAAAGCTTCACTAGCAAGAAAACAGTTAAACAGAGCATCTACAGCGCGAAAACGAGAGATGCGCCTCCTCATTCTTTTCGCTTTCGCTCTTGTGTATAGGGAAACCTTAACACACAGACATCCATTAGTCTATAAATAATTAATTTTGTTTGTTAACCCTCTGGGGTCGAAGACCGCGTATACGCGCTTTGACCTATGGTGTCGTCAAACTGCTGAAATGAACTTAAAATACACTTTCAGTTTTGATCGTACAGAGAAGATTAATACATCAATTGAATCTGTTATGTGTTTACTTTTTGTTGTGTACACTCACAACAACAACAAACGTGTGTGCTTTTGCAAAATAAGGAAAACAAACAGTGTAGGCATTCTGTCTTCTCTCTCTCCGTGAACTGCTTTTAGAAACGCGTCAGTAAAATGCGCTGAAACTCCGCGAATACAAAACGCACACAGATGAGATTATATATATATATATATATATATATATATATATATATATATATATATATATATATATATATATATATATATATATATATGAGCATTTATTTTACTCCAGTATATTCAATGAAACTTCTGCGCTGGCCTGCCGATTCTGACGGGAGCGTGCGAGTAAACGGCTTTTTGTCTCGTTTTACGCTTGAGCAACTAAATGAATGCCAGTCTATTTAACTGAATGTATTTTAATGACATTACAACATCAATTCCGTAAAAGGAACTGTATAAAATAAAAATAAAAATAAAAAACTCACATTAACAGGTCACCGGAAGTTTATTAGTATGGGAACAACACAAGTTTAGTATATACCCTAAAACACTGTTGACCAATTAGAGCAGTAAGAAATAAAGTTGTCAGAGTATATGCTCAGAGTTCTGTTTTGATGTGTATTTTGTTTGACATCTTGTGTTTCAGTGAGCGCTGCAGCTCCTCTGAGGATTGTTCTTGTGGGTAAAACTGGTGTTGGTAAAAGTGCAGTTGGAAACACAATCCTGGGACAGAAAGAGTTCAGATCTGAGATGAGTAGTCATTCAGTAACCAGTAAATGTTCAACAGCTCAGGCCACAGTTTCAGGCAGATCTGTGTCTGTAGTCGACACTCCTGGATTCTTCGACACAAAGATGAAACAAGAGGACTTAGCAACGGAGATGGCCAGCAGTGTGTGGTTATCCAGTCCTGGACCTCACGCTTTCCTCATTGTGTTCAGAATTGATGAGAGATTCACTGAACTGGAGGAAAAAATTCCACTGATAATTAAAAAGATATTTCGTGAAGAAGTGTTGAAATACTCCATCATTCTCTTCACTCGTGGAGATCAGCTGGATGGAAAGTCTGTAGAGAAGCTGATAGAGGACAGCAGTGGATTAAGATCTCTAGTCCAGCAGTGTGGAGGCAGATATAAGGTATTCAACAACAGAGATGTGAATAACAGAGAGCAGGTGGAGGATCTACTGCAGAAGATTGACTCAATGATACAGCAGAATGGAGGAGCACACTACAGTAACCAGATGTATGAAGACGCTCACAGATTCAGACAGAGAAATGAAGATGGTGGTGGATTTTTTGAATTTTTGGACAAATATTGGCCGTATTTTGTTGCAGCAGCTATTACTGTAATTCTTGCTATTATTGGTGGGCCTCATAAATTAGCTTTTTTTGCTGGTATTGTATCTGCTATTGCAGCAACATTTTCTACTACAAATGCTGGCAAAACAAAACAACAATAGCAATAATAATATCAACAGAACAGAAGCTTGAGAGTGGAAAAATGTAGCAAGAAGTATGAATAAACCTACAGCAAGAAGATCAACAGAGAAGATGAAAAGAGAGAATTCTGATATAAAAGTATAAGGGATAAATAACAACAGCTCATATAATGACCCAAAGCTTTTGTTCAATCATTATTCATTTACATTTAGTCATTTAGCAGGCGCTTTTGTCCAAAGTGACTTACAACTGAGGCAATTGATTGAATGTTTCCACAGGTGTTTTTATATTGTTTCTACATTATTCACTTATGTATGTTTTCTAAAAAAAACAGAAAATTTTGCTAATTATTCTCTTTCAATCATATTCATTAACCCTTTAACTGCCTGCTCTACCAATCAGTTAACCATTCATTTTCTTTTCGGCTTAGTCCCTTTATTAATCTGGGGTCACCACAGCGGAATGAACCACCAACTTTTTACGCAGTTGGTGTATGTTTTACGCAGAGGATGCCCTTCCAGCCGCAACCCATCTCTGCGAAACATTCATTCACACTCATAGACTACGGACAATTTAGCTTACCTAATTCTTTCTTTGGACTTGTGGGGAAAACCTGAGTTCCTGGAGGAAACCCACACCAACACAGGGAGAACATGCAAACTCTACACAGAAACACCAACTGACCCAGTAGAGGCTCAAACCAGGGACCTTCTTGCTGTGAGGCGACAGCACTACCTACTGCTCCACCGTGCAGCCATGGTTGACCATGTAAAAGTAATTTAAATGACTGTTTTAAATAATGGCTTACACACACAGCATTGTTGGTTAACAAACAAATCAAACAAACATAATCCTGTTGCACATCTACACTTTGTTGTTGTTGTTGTTGTTTTAACAGTAAAACTAAAATCAACAAATAAGAAAGCATGTTAATAAGAATCTGAATTTTTTTATGTCACACTTTAATAAATAAAGATGATTTAATATTTAAAAATATTTTATTTTGTACATTTCTTTTTTATAAAATGCTCTTAAACTTCGTATTTTCATATTTTTCATAGTGGATGTATTAATTACTTTTACCGACATATCCCATAACTTCTAAAATATTAGCCTCTAACGATGTGTTAAAAAAAAAAGACTCTTAACTGGTAATTATTGAATTGTCTGTAGAGATTTCAGATTAATGTTGAACATTTACATAAAGGTTAAGCTTTAATTAGTTATTTTTTTTATTTATTTCACAACAAGGGAAAGTGTACATTAATCAGCATTCCTAATTAACATAAATGTCCCCATTAGCCAAAGGCTAGTATTCATTGGTTGTCCCTTTCCAGATTTTATAGGCTTAGACCAATAAAATACAGATTCAAATTATAATCAAAACCCAAATCAACAACAGAAAACAACCACAACAGCAAAGAACTAGTGTTCACAATTAAGTAACTCTTTCTTTATCATTCATTCATTCATAATTTTCTTTTCGGCTTAGTCTCTTTATTAATCTGGGGTTGTTATAATGTAAAACGCCCATAATGATGCTCTAAATAGGGTGGAATAACAACTTCTTTATAGAAAAACCCCATCATTTCTTTGAGTAAATTATATTGTTTTACACACACACATTTAAAATCATTCATTCATTTTCTTGTCGGCTTAGTCCCTTTATTAATCCGCGGTCGCCACACAGAATGAACCGCCAATTTATCCAGCAAGTTTTTATGCAGCGGATGCCCTTCCAGCTGCAACCCATCTCTGGGAAACATCCACACATACTCATTTACACTCATACGGACAATTTAGCCTACCCAATTCACCTGTTACGCATGTCTTTGGACTGTGGGGGAAACCAGAGGAAACCCACATGAACGCAGGGAGAACATGCAAACTCTAAACAGAAACGCCAAATAAGCCGAGGCGACCTTCTTACTGTGAGGCGACAGCACTACCTTCTGCACCACTGCTTCGCCCAATTTAAAATAAAATCCAATATTTTGATAAAAAACATGCACTCGCTTTTCATATTAACTTAAATAAATGTAAATGGCACATACAGAGCCTGTGTTTGCATTAGTAATGTTATTGAGAACATCACATATTCTATTCTAAAACATAAAATCACATACAAAAGCTAACATGTATTCTATATATCATATATAAACTATATAAATAGACAAATAATGAGGGCATTTATTAAGAAATGAAATTTAATATTTATTAGGAAATTTATAATGTCCAACATTAATAGTAGTATTAATAATAGTAATTATTATTATTATTATTATTATTATTATTATTATTATTATTATATTTTTTAGGTCTATTTTTACAATTCATTGTATATTAATAATATTGTATATTATATATTAGATATATTAGACATAATATGTTGCATCATAATACCGTCATTGCATTAATTTTTTGGTGAAATCTTTATTTACGTTACATGTATGAGCATGGGTCATGAGTTAACATGACTCCTAAGGCACAGGTACACATGAGTCTGCAACTATGAACAAACATGGTTTGAGAAACTGATGAAGCATCGTTTAGTCAGCTCTTCTATCAGCGGCAGAGTTTGTAGAAGCATGTTAACGCGAGTACATGTAACTAAACAACATGTAAACATGTTAACATCGATTGAAACATGTCAACACGGGTCCACAAGCATTATATTATATACTGCATTATATACTGTTCTGCTACACAGATATTAAAATCAGTAATGCTCACAATGACACTGACACCAAGTAATAAGAGTCTTTATTTGGTATGGGCATGTTTTGTTGCTGTGAAAAAGTGACGAATCTGCCAATCTGCAAACGTGAATAGCTTACATCTGGAAAGGGACACCGTTAAACACGGTCACCAGTTAAACCGTAACACCGGCTGCATCCAATAATATCCAGCGCATCTTATCTCTGTCTGTTCTAGTTACCTATCTATCTTTCTATTTTTCTTTTCATTTGCACCTTTTTCACATGTGTTTTAGTCTTTCCTTAACCTGTAACTCTTTCTTTTACAAATTATATATGTCATGAACTGTATGCTTCTCAAACTTCATGAGAAGTGTCATTCATGTATTTCCAGGTGCATTCAGAGGACAATCGCCTGCTTAAATAATAGTCGATACAAGTACTGTTTTTACGTTACTGTGACAGCTGGGGTTGGGGTGGGTGTAGACGTTTATAAAACACAACAAATGTGAAATTTAATAAATTTAGTTACCTACCGGCAATTTTCTGGAAAGGTCTGTATGTGTGAATATACCCTTTTTGAGTATACCAGTAAAGTTGTTCCGTAAATTTCCCGGATATTTACCTGTAACACTGTGTAAAAGGGGCTAATGACGCATCTTCTGCAGTTTTGCTTTCACTTTCACTTTTGAAGCAAACGCTTCTGCTATTTGTCTCCAGGAGGGGGCGCTGTGACGTCATCACAAACACCAACGAAAACCTAAACGTCCGCGACAGGCAACTAATTTTTGATTGTCTTGTTATTTTACAGACGTTTTGTTTATTTTTCCATTTTTAGTCTTTAAAATATTCACCCTCTTGAAGCCATGTCAGATTCAGCTGAAATAGAAGAGGGTTTAGGTCTACTAATCATTTACCGTTTATTATTATTCGATTATTTAAAGATGAATAATTACAGCTTAAGAATATCATCATTTAGACTTTTTAATGGTCATTCCTGGCATTCTGTAATATTTCAGCTTGAGCAAACTTATGTTTAAAAGTGTATTGATTATATTTTTAAATAGCCTACATAATTAGGCACAGTTTAAACTTTCAAAACATCATCTTTCCCCACCTTTCCCATCATCTTTTTTCACCATCTTTCCCAGGCATTAAAGATTTTAAGTTATTTTCTCTTTTATTCTTATCTGGAAACCCATTATTCTCAAACCTGTAACGAACTAAACTGAATCGTTAATAATAGTATTTTAAAAAGCTTTTGCTAGAAAACCAACGTTACCTATTGCTCATATGTCCCTCAAATCAGTTTAATGGCTGAAATATAAAATTTCTGAGAAGTTTTAGTTTTATATGTGATTTTAATTACAATTATACAACTTATGCATTCTGTGCTCTCTTAATTTCTCTAAAAAATATTTGAAGTTAGATGTCTTACCCAAACCACATATTCACAATGTTAGGCCTTAACATGATGGCTGGTACTCAGCAAGATTTTTTTTCTATATTTAATTGTTTTCCTTATTTTATTTTCCAAAAAATATTAATTTCACAAGGTTGAAAATACAGTGACGGGTTGAAGACCGTAACAGGGTTGAGGGGACACTTTATTTTCAATTTTAACTTGTTTAAATAATTTGAAATTACATCTAAGACTTAACCAAACCACTTATTTATTTTTAGTAAAACATTTAGCAAAGGCATTAATCACACTGAGATGACATTAAACTTCATTAAATCAAACTACGGTGAGAATTCAAAAAGTGAACTGCTGCAGGTAACCATTACTGGACCATTAGTAACCTTTACAAATGCTGATAAAGGCCTATGTTACCAAATATATTGCTGAACAGAACTTACAGTAAACAGGAGCAACAGGTAAAGTCATGTCTAAAATATTATTTCCTGGAACATCAAGAAAAACTGCAGCAGAAAACAGTCTTCTTAATGAAATTGTTAATGAAAATTCTTAATAATAATGATAATAATAAAATTAATTATATATATAAATACTTATTTTTTTCCTATTTTGTCCTGTCCAACTGCTTGTTAACGCAAATGTCTACTCAGCCAATCACATGGCAGCATCTCAATGCATTTAGGCATGTAGACATGGTCAAGACGATCTGCTGCAGTTCAAAGTGAGCATCAGAATGGGGAAGAAACAGGGTATTTAAGTGACTTTGAACGTGGCTTGGTTGTTGCTGCCAGACGGGCTGCTCTGAGTATTTCAGTAATTGCTGATCTACTGGGATTTTCACGCACAACCATCTCTAGTGTTTACAGAGAATGCTCCGACAAAGAGGAAATCTCCAGTGAGCGGCAGTTCTGTGAGCGCAAATGCCTTGTTGATGCTAGAGGTCAGAGGAGAATGGCCAGACTGGCTCCAGCTGATAGAAAGACAACAGTAACTCAAATAAGCACTCGTTACAACCGAGGTCTACAGACGAGCATCTCTCTAAACATGTACAACCTTGAGGTGGATGGGCTAAGCAGAAAACCACCAGGAGATTCAACCAGGGATTCCTAATCTGAGCTGCATCCAATGCTTTTTAATGCGCTCACCTAAACCCACCCCTAACCATACCCCTCACAGTGACGTCACTCACTCCATTGAGTGTATTGTGTCTGACATTGCATCGCTGAGTAATGCAACCTCAGCTTGCATCTTAACGGCTGCATCCAGATACTATTGAAACCTTTGGACAGCTGAACCCCTTTTATCTATAATATTAATATGAATTATGGCCTTCATGACCCCCTCTCAAAAGTCATTTTTGTCACATGACAGAGAAAAAGAGAGATATCAATTCAATTTCAATAATTGCTTTATTGGCATGACAAATGTTGCAAATGTATTGCCAAAGCAGTTATAAAATAACATGTAATATAAAAACAGTACACACAGTAAATAGTAGTAGTAGTAGTAGCAAAAAATATATATTTACATATAATAATTAAATAAAATATCAACAATACATCATATTATTCAATATATCACAATTCAATATATTATTATTCAACATATCATATTCATACAAATCAATACAAAAATAGATCAGAATAAGCTGTACATTTAACAATCAACATTTTAGGATAAAACAGTAATAAAAACAATAATAATCAGTATATTTACAATGATTCATTTATAATCAGCTAGGTGTGTGTGTGTGTGTGTGTGTGTGTGTGTGTGTGTGTGTGTGTGTGTGTGTGTGTGTGTGTGTGTGTGTGCAGGCGCATCACTGATGTTTTTATTGGTCTACTCTCTCTGTTTGTGACAGGCATTAATGTATTGTGCCGCTAGAAGGGCACACTCATGTTTTCCCCTAGTAAATATTAAAGCTGTGTTGTATTGTCTGACTCAGTGAATTGTGGGTAAATGCTCTGTAGGTTGGTGTAGAATGTTTCTCTGATGTGCTGATAGTTTGTGCAGCGCATGAGGAAGTGTTCCTCCGTCTCTGCCTCTGCCTGGGCACAGTGTGGGCAGATGCGTCCCTCTCTGGGTTGCCAGTTCTGTCAGTATCGGCCCGTCTCTACAGTCAGATTGTGAGCACTCAGCCTGTATCTGGTCATTGTTGTTCTTAGTTTACTGTCCTTTACTGCACTCAGATATGTTGCTGTGGTATAATCTCTATTTAGGTCTAAATAACATTTAAGTTTACTTTGTTTTCCGGCTCCTTCATTCCAGTAAATCAGATACTCTTATTTTCCTGCATTTATTATTTGATTGGAATTAATTTTGTGGATGAGCGTGTCCGTGTCCTGATGCTGCCTGCTGTTAGTCATATTCGCTGTGTTGGTTTGTGTTTGCAGCTTCAGGACCATCTGAATCAGGGGGATTTTTTTAATGTCAATTTTTTGGGTTTTGAGGGCTTTAAAATGATAAAAGTTGGGGTCACTCATTTTAATGTGTTTCCAAAATTTAACAGATTGTTTCATGAGTAGAGGATACTGGCCTAATTCTGCCCTGCATGCATTGCTGGCTGTGTTCCTCTGTACCCTGAAGATGTTCCTATACAGAGCTCTGCATGTAGGCTTTCAACTGGATTTTTATCCCACTTTTCAAACTCATGACTGAGGAGAGGACCCACACTGCACTCCTGTAAAGAACTATAGGTTCAATCACTGACTGGAACATTTTGAGTCAGATTTGAATTGGAATTTCTATTTGTGTTGATTTTTTAATGGCGTAAAAGGCCCTTATTGCTTTCTCTTTCAGTTCATTCACAGCCAAATTCAGTTTTCCATCAACACTTATTTTCAACCCAAGGCATGTGTAGCTTATGGCAGGTTCAATTTTTGTTATACCAAGGGTAAAGCTGTGTTTCTTTCCCTGACATCTGGGTTTTTTCTGGAAGTCTGAAGGGTGAAGATATGGTCTGATGTTCTGTAATTTGGCAGAAACCCAATCTGACTTTTGCTGAGGACATCGTGCTCTGTAAGGAAGCCTATGAGTCTGGTGTTGATGATGCTGCTGAACAGCTTCCCCACATTACTGCTCACACAGATGCCTCTGTAATTATTAGGGTCTGATTTGTCTCCATTCTTATATGGGCGTTATTAATCCTTTATTCCATATGTCAGGGAAATGACCAACACTCAGAACCAAATTAAACAGTTTCATTGTAGCCAATGTGGATTTGTGATTTATGTTTTTGATAATTTCATTAAGGATACCGTCTGGTCCACTTGCCTTTTCTGTTGGTAGGACTTGTATTTTATCTAGTTGCTCTTTTTCTGTAATTGGGTAGTCTAACGGATTTTGGTATTTGCCAAATATTTTATTTTATGGGTTGATTTATTATATATAAGCGATTGTTCTGTACTCGTGTTTATTTTACTAAACAGTTTTTCCAGGTGTCTCCATTTTGTGTTGTTAGCTGTTCACGTTTCTTTTTATTAAGGAGGTTCCAGTTGTCCCAGAAGTTGTTTTAGTCAACAGATTCTTCAATTGTTTTGAACTGTTTTTTGGTGTACTCTTCTTTCTTTTTTCTGATTGTGTTTTTATATTTTTAAGCTCCTCGTAGTACTGAAGACGTAAATCTGTATTATCTGGTTGTCTGTGTTTTTGATTTGCTAGTTGTCTTAAGTTTTTCTTTATTGTTTCAAAATCAAATTAATGCCATTTTTCATTCTCTTGTTTTTGTTTAAAGGTTTTCTTAGTAGTTTTATTATTAGACATCGTTGCCAAATAATCGAATATGTCATTTATGTTTTCTGCAGCTAGATTAACACCATCTCCATTATCAGGATAACTATTTTCCATAAATTTATCCAAAAGTAAACCTATTTAGGGGTCTTCAATTGCGTTCCTGTCTTTCTCAGAGCTGTCTTGTTGCCATCTATAATTATTTTTAATGTTACACAATTTACTGGATTGTGAAAATCTCTCTCTCACACACACACACACACACACACACACACACACACACACACACACACACACACACACAACAACAACAACAACAATCTTCTTTGGCTCTCGGCGAAGGCGGTCGCTTTTCTTCCCGCTCCGTCCCATATCTCTCCTTGCTAGCACCTCCTGTCTCGTCTTATTCTATCTCTGAGGCTCTCCTTGTCCTGCTTTCCAAATGAAAAAGGAATTATGGATTTGATCAACTGGTCTCTGAATGCAATTGACACCATCTTCTCAACGAGATCGCTGGGCTCCGGGGAACCCAGCTGTCCTGCGGGGACGCTCGCAGCTGGATATGTGATGGACGGGTGGGAGAAGTGGAGAGTCCTCTGTCTAGCTGCTCTGTCTCTGGAGGATATTGAAGATATCTACCTATTCGGAACTTTGATAACAGGGTTTCTGCTGATGGGCTTTGGGATATCGGAAACTGATAAAAGCGGTCAGCGCAGCTCAAAACCCCACTAGGCTGGCCGGCTTGATTGAAACACTGATGGGTAGAGTCGCGAATCAGACTATGGTCCTTGACCGCAAATTGGAAACCATCGAGGTGAAGCTTGCGGCTCTGCAACAAATTTTTGATCGGGAGACGAGTGATGGACATTAAATATCTGTGAAATTGGCAGATATTGACCTAAAGTTGAAGCATCTTACTGTCTTTTTTTTCGGCTCTCCTCTTACTCCTGCCAAACGGCCTCGGCTGGAAGTAAACAACTCCCTGGGATAAGCAAGATAAGCGGACGCTCTGAAATTTCTGCCCCTTAAGGACATCTGCGGGACTCTGGACTATGCAGGCTCACACACACACACAAACATATCTACAGATAAACATTCACCACCGATCCCCATCCAAACGCCTTCGTGTGCTTTTACCCACGTGGGCAGGGCTGTGACTTGTGCCGGAAATGGCTGCTGGACCAGTTGGCTGCCCGCACTCAACGGACTGTTTTCCATTACCCCTGTTCCCATCCCCTGTGTCTATGTTGTGTCTTGCCGGTGTGCTTATGCTAAGATAGGGCTGTTTTTCTCCCTTTTCTCACTTTGTCCTAATCAAGGGCAAGCTGAGGGGGTGTTTTTTGTCAAACTCAATTCCTGGAGGGCCGCATCCCTGCACAGCTTATTTCCAACCCTAATTAAACACACCTGATTGTACGAATTGAGTCCTTCAGGCTTGTTTGAAACCTACAGGTAAGTGTGTTGGAGCAGGGTTGGAACTAAACTGTGCAGGGCTTCGGCCCTCCTGGAATTGAGTTTGACATCCCTGGTCTACATGATGAGTAAAGCACCTGAGCTCATTAATATTCACAAATGCTCCAAATATAGACAATATGGAGCTTGTGATTCTAGCACTAATTCCTCTTTATAAATAAGAATATAAGGCATATAGCTTCTGTGAAGATATCAGAGAATAATAATCTTATTTAGTCAATGCACTCCTTTAATATGTCACATTTAAGTTGAAGGGTTTGTGTGAGCATCAGTGCTGCTCTTGATTGAATGACGCAGTCACACACACAGTGCGCATGTGCCACTAAAAATACACAAACTCACTGGACTGATTAAAGTTCAAGTTTTACCCGAAATGAGTGAAAATTCAATCAAAACAGATAAGATAAAATGACGCAGCAGACAGGTAAGATTTCTCTTTTGAAAACCTTTTTTCAGACAGTAATAAATGTTTTACTCTTTCATAATCAAAACAACTGTTTAAATAGGGAAATTATATTAAAAAATCATTAAAAATCAAGAGAAAATTGAAGAAATTAGAGAAATGCATGAGTGGATTAAACACATCCGACATCATCAAAATGTCAAATAGCTGACACTGATTTCTTCAACTCTTTTATATGTTTATCACATGTGGAAATGCTATAAATGCCCACTGCTGTGACTATACAACAGGTATGCATGTTAAATAATAAAAAGACACTGTGACATTGAAATATAATGGGTAACTGTACAATAATAAATAACTAAAAAAATAAATAAATAATTTGTACTTCAAATGATCTGTAACAAAGAAACTGTGACACAGTAATGTTGAAATGTGCATGGAAAAGTGTTTTACTGTCAAAACCAAATCATTTTCCAGTCTCTCTGAAAAGTGGAAATGTCTTTAAAACGACTCAAATATAAACAGTAGAAAGATAATATACGAGAGATTCTGTCAACACTGGATGTATTTCTACAGAAAAAACCTTTTAAAATAAATAAACATGCTTAAATCACATGAAATATGTAAAACACATGTTTATTTGAAACCCATGTAATCACTTTTACACGTGGCCATGTATGATGTATGCTAATGTCCACATTGTGATCTCTTGCATGTGTCTAAATGTGTCTAAAATAAAATTGATATTCATCAGCTTTAATAATTACACTCAATATATGGGTATTAACAGTTTGATTTAAAAATAATAATAAATCTGAGGCTGCAGCCTCTCTGTATAGTTTACTGCATATGCCTTCTGTCACCGGTCAGCCGTGGTTGCTGGAATCATGTCTGGACTGTCTTTACTTGTGTCTTACTACATGAGTGTTTCAGTACATGTTGATCTCAACTTTCAGATATTGATGTTACTCACAGAACAATATTCAGATGCAGAATGCTGTACTAATGCAGTTATTGAACCATTCTGCTTTCCCACATGAAACAGGGGAAGGGTAGAAATGTGAACTTTGCTCTTATAAGTAAATAACAAGTTGTTGACATAATAGTTTGTTTTGCACAACATGTTATCAGTGCACACATCAAGAACCTGTGCAAAGTAAAGATGCAGATAATAAAACTAAATTAAAAGTAGAAATGAGTCATTTTCAAATGTATTTGAGTCAAAGTAATGACTTCTCTATTAAATTAATTATTGATTAATCTATGAATGTTTAAAAATAATTACCCATGCTCCAGGTTTACATTATTATATAACAGAATTATTAAACTCGTAATTGTAAATGTGTGCTGGCAATTATAAACACAAATCAAAATGTGTTGACTTCAGTAAGAATGATGTGTAACAAGTTTTATATATGTTATGTGCTTCAGTAGTGTGGAAACTGCTCTGACTTCAGTCTGTAAATCATCAACTGGATACTTGCTCTTACCAAAATTGTGGTTCACAAAACCCCCTTTTGTTCTTTAAGGAATAGTTCTCTCTCAAAAATTAAAATACACTTACTATTTACTCAACCTCAAGTGGTTTCAAGCTATTATTTGTTTCTTTTTTTTTTAGTACCACTTTATTCGAATGATCCATTTGAGTATTAGTAGACTGTTTGCTTAATATCTGCTGATACTGCTCCTTTAACAGACATTTAACTGACTAGAAGACTTCAACTTGCACTAACCCATAACCCCATTATCGGACATAGGGAAAGGCTGCTGAAACCAACACAGGATAAGGGTTAAGGACAGGTCCGATATATGTGCATTAAAGCACACTCAGCACACACAGGTATTTACTGAACAAAGATCTATACCAGGAAACATTCATGCTATTTTACCTATAGATCAGGAATGTCAAACTCAATTCATAGTGGGCCGCAGCCCTGCACAGCTTATTTCCAACCCTAATTAAACACACCTGATTGCACGAATTGAGTCCTTCAGGCTTGTTTGAAACCTACAGGTAAGTATGTTGGAGCAGGGTTGGACACTCAACCCATAACCCCATCCTAACAGTCAACTTATAATATAATGAGAATTAGTTGCAATGTAACTTCAATTCAACAAGAAGATCAAAATAAAGTGTGACCCTTTTTTTCTGTTGAACACAAATGAATAACCCGAACTAGGGGCGTCGCTTGTTAGAGAGGCGGGACTTGACGTACCTGTCTATCATCCTCATGACGCAGCAAAAAGCAGAGCTATGCAGAGAAGCGCCCGCAGCTATGGGGAATGCCCTCATCCTATGTGCCTTTGTGTGTTATTGTGTGCATCTATAACGAACTAACCACACACGCCTATACACACACCTATTCAGTGTTCAATAAACAAGTTTGATTGACCTTAACTGCCTGATCCACTCCTGTGTTCTGATCGACACCCCAAGGGCAAGGCTAGAGAAATTAGAACCTCCTCAGAATACAATCCTAACCTAACAATCCAACAAATTGGTTCTTCGAGCCGGATTCGAACCAGCGACCTAAGGATCGTGTTTGGTTAATTCAGCAACAGAGACTCTGTATCTGGATAAACCTACAGGATGTAGGAAGGTTCTCCTTAAGGTAGTCAGAGTTTTGCTTCGCCACAAAAACCAAACTCTAGATACCTATGCTGTCCTTGATGACGGATCGGAGAGGACAATTCTCCTATCCCCTGCTGCCACAAAACTTGGTATCCATGGTCCGGTGGAAAGCTTAGCCCTACGCACTATTCGTCAGGATGTGCAAGCTGTCACTGGTGCTGCAGGGTCTTTCCAGATTTCTCCAGTTACCCAGCCACAGAAAGTATACAGAATCTCAGCTGCCTTTACTGCTGAACATCTAGGACTAGCAGACCATTCGTACCCTTTGAGCATCCTGGAGAAGTATCAGAATCTAAATTACCTTCCCCTGCAGCCCTTTGAGGGAGCACACCCATTGCTGTTAATTGGAGCAGACAATACTCACCTCATCACTCCCATATCACCTGTCCGCCTGGGCCCCTCTGGAGGACCAGCAGCAATACAGACCAGGCTGGGATGGTTGTTACAGGGACCCATAAGACACTTAAAAGAACAGTTGTCATCACACCAGTGCCTCTTCTTGTCCCTGACCCCTGTTGAGCGACAGGTGAGGAAGGATGTTGAAAGGCTCTGGCAGATTGATGTTATGCCTTATTGTTGTGAGAAGCAGGTGACACGTTCAAAAGAAGATCGAGAGGCTATTCATCTCTTGGAGACTAAGGCCCCGTTTACACTAGTGCGTTTTAGTTTTAAAACGGCGTCGTAGAATGAAAACGATCCGCGTCCACACTCGCGTTTTACCCAGCGTTTCTGAACTGCTCTCCGTCCACACCAAAACGCTGAAAACGCACATCACGTGACCACACACACACTCTCGGGCAAGCGCTCCAGCATTTCTACCCAGATGAGAGCTCTGCTAGTCGGACTTCTCATCAAGCATCTCCCGCTGGATCTAATCTTGCTATATTTGCTGAACGTGATATTTCATTCATGTTGTTGTCTTTATCTAACGACATAGGCCAATTCCCTGACTTTGGTCATTGGAATCTATTAAGTTACTTGTTCACGGGTAACATGTTTTGGTTAAGCGCAAAGATAAGTTAATGATTAATCCAGGTACATTGACTGATCGCTTGCCTTTATTTCCTACAATGTATAAACTTATTGTATGTTATACTTTTATAATTATCGATTATTAAAACTGATATTCAGCAAAAGAGAGGGGATGTTTCGTATTTTCACTGAAATTGAAAGGAGACAGTTGTTATCAGCTCCGTTTTGTTATAAATATCCACACAGTGAAGATGACGCTCATATATGCAGCACGACGCCTCAACATTTCTGCTGTCTGTTAAGTTTTCTAATATTAAAAAGAAAATAGGCAGTTCCTTAAATCATGTTTACATTTTATTGTTGAGAAAGTGAAACAACGTAGCCAAGGTGATGTGAATGAAGTTATAAAGTACACTGTTCCCTTTGAAGATTTACGCGTGTCCTCTGTATGTTTTCCATATCAAACTGAGTAGGGGGAGACTGCAGCCTTGATCAAACTTGCAAAGTCTGAACTTACAAGAAGAGGATGCAGGACTGAACTGTGTGTTAGGCTACTTAATATTGAGGAAAAGCCCCAATCAGATAGGCGAACGTTTGCAGCCCCGCCTCCGTTTTCAGATGTCTCCGTCTTTCCCCATCCACACTGAGACGGAGCAGCAGCGTTTCAGAATGAAAACGGCCTCTCCAGCGTTTTCGAAACGCTCCGTTTTCGGCGCTCGAGAACTCCGGCGTAGTGTGGACGGATGGCGTAACCGTAGCAAAACTTATGCGTTTTCAAACTAAAACGCACTAGTGTAAACGGGGCCTAAGACTACTCGGGTTGAGGTTATTGGTATTCTCCGCTATGCAACACCTCTATTATGCAGGAAAGATTTCCCTCTCTTTTGTGCCCCCCAAGATGCTGTGATGCCTAATCTCAGGGGAATAGAGCGGCAGCTTACTCGGTCTCCAGAAAGAGCAGAGGTTTATAAGTCAGAGATAAAGAAGTTGGAGCTGGCTGGGGCTGCCATCAAGCTGCAGAATGAGGAGAAGGAAAGGACTAGAGAAAAATGGTATATTCCCCATCACATGATCACTCACAATGAGAAAAATCGCCTTGTATTCAACTGTTCCTTCGAATATGAGGGACTGAACCTGAATGACTCCTTGCTTCCTGGTCCAGTCTTAGGTCCCTCCCTTCTGGGTGTCCTTTTGCGATTTAGAGAACATTGTGTAGCCATCAGCGGGGATATACGTGGCATGTTTCATCAGGTCCTGCTACTGCCTGAGGACAGGCCACTCCTGCACTTCCTGTGGCGTGACCTGCGACGGGAGGAACCGCCAGACACATATGAGTGGCAAGTTCTTCCTTTCGGGACAACATGTAGCCCCTGCTGTGCGACCTTCGCCCTACAGCAGCATGTGGCATTGCACAGTACCTCTGATAAGGATGTAAGATTCTCAGTAAACAAGTGTTTCTACGTAGACAACTGTCTACAAAGCCTACCCTCTGCACAGGAAGCACGTTAGTTTTAGTAGACAAGTTAGTAGACAAGTTACGCGCTCTCCTATGCTCCGGTGGTTTCGACATCAGACAGTGGGCAAGTAATAAAGGGGAAGTTATCAGTCACCTACCACCTGAGGCCAGGTCCAGTAAGCTGGAGTTATGGCTTTCTCAAGACAAAGCAGAACCACGTGAGTCAACCTTAGACCTGAGTTGGCACTGCAAATCAGATAATCTGGGCTTGAAACAACGACCTATCACATACAATGGCCTGACAATGCGTAACATTTACCGGGTGCTGGCGAGTCAGTATGACCCTCTTGGAGTTATCCTTCCATATACTACTAGGGCTAAGGTGATAGTGCAGCAGCTCTGGGTCAAGCACAGGGACTGGGATGATCCTCAACTTCCTGGTGAACTTCAACAGAAATGGATGAAATGGGAAGAAGAACTAAAATATCTACCTGAGGTGACACTACCTAGATGCTATTACCCCTACTACATGGATCACTCAGATGTGCGACGAGAAATTCATATCTTTAGTGACGCTTCTGAGAAGGCATATGGAGCTGTTGCTTACCTGCTTAGGCGGGACTTGACGTACCTGTCTATCATCCTCATGACGCAGCAAAAAGCAGAGCTATGCAGAGAAGCGCCCGCAGCTATGGGGAATGCCCTCATCCTATGTGCCTTTGTGTGTTATTGTGTGCATCTATAACGAACTAACCACACACGCCTATACACACACCTATTCAGTGTTCAATAAACAAGTTTGATTGACCTTAACTGCCTGATCCACTCCTGTGTTCTGATCGACACCCCAAGGGCAAGGCTAGAGAAATTAGAACCTCCTCAGAATACAATCCTAACCTAACAACCCAACATCGCTGGACCGCATGCACTGTGGCACGTACCACAATAAAATAATTATAATAATCGCCAGTGCCCCAGTAAATGCTTTGAAGTATGATTTACTTTATATGCAAGTGTATTTTTAAGAGTGGTAATCCCAGAATAAAGACATTATTCTCTGTGCAACTGAACCAACGCTGGTAAAAGCAATGTATATTAATTAAAAAGCAAACTGAGCATAGGAACAGAAAAAACAATGCCCGTACGCCTCACACACCGCTCTGCTTGACGCAGGTGCACTGCTCTGCTCCTGATTGTGAACATGCAATCTGAATAATAGCCACGCTGCTTATGCGCCACTCATGTGTTGTGAAACCAGCGTAACAGTCTTTTATGCTGAGGTGTCTGCATACAGTGAGTTTTGCAAGTCAACAAAACAAAGATAAATAATATGATGGTGATCTTATTTTGACTAAGCATGGCTCCTGATAGATTTTTAGTATTAAGCAAAAAGGCGGGATGATGAGTCAGGGAGATAAGACTTAATAAATGTTATTCTCGGCCATGAGTTGGATCTAAGACAACACACATTAGATAATAATATTTTTAATATATCTTAAACTATATATAATAAATCTTATAAAATAATTTCTTATTTTTGTATGCTATTGAATTGTCTATACAATTTCATTCTAATTAAATTAATGTTTAGACAAAAGATTTCTATCATCACTCCGGTTGTGTCTTTAGATTGTTCTCCAGTTACACTTAGGATTAATTTTTACTATTTTTCAGAATAATAATTGTTTAATAACAATAATACTGTTATTTATTTATAAACACATCTACAAGTCTTATGTTAATAATAATAATAATAATAATAATAATAATAATAATTAAAATCAGTTATTAGTTTTCATTAGTTCAAAACTACACTGTAAAAAATAATACCCCATATCTACTCAATAAATTTTAGGCAACAGATTACAAGCAATATTATTAATTAAATTCCACATATATGGATTGAGTAACAATTAATCAAATTAGCTTATTTAAAAGTGGTCATTTAAATTAAGCAAAAAGTACTTAAAGAAATTAGCAAATTTTAAACAAAAACATTAATAAAATTGAACAGAAAAACTGACACAATGTTAATGAAAACTACTCAATGTTTTTATTTAGATTTAACATAAAAAGTGTGGAGCCTGGTCATCAGCTCTAGAAAATAATGCTTTATATCTACACAATAAAATTGAGGCAACAGATTATACAATTATATTATTATAAGATTATACAAACAATTATATTAATTAAACTCAACAAGTATGGATTGAGTAAAATTTAATTCAATTTAGCTCAAATTAGTGGAGCCTGTTCAGCAGTGTGGAGCCACAATACAGACTAACAACAATCTCATAATAGACAATACGTCATATAATACACAACAAAACATGTACATTTAAACAAACTGATCATCTTAACAAGGACTTTGATCATCTTTTTTAAAAAGCAGTTTCAAACAACTGGACATTAAACAATATTATTTAAAACAATAGACTTAGAGTAAAATTTATGTGATTTAATGCATGAAAGGTATTATTTGCCAGAATAATGCGGATTCATTGAAGTAAAGAGGACACCACAGTTTGGAAATACTACCCTCTAATATCTTACAGTGTTCACCAGACTGTCACTTGTAAAAACACTTTTCTTTGTCACAGTTAAAATGCATAGGTCAAACCCAGGTGGACACAAGCTCTGGGAATGTAGTCAAGAGACGTGTTTTCACTCTCGCGACTTAAGATAGCGTGCCAATGAGAGCCAGGGCCAGTCAAGTTTCCACAGTCACTTCCGGGGCCTGATCAGATACCCATGATGCCAGTATCTTTAGGTGGTCCCCTGTAGAAGGCCCCTGCTCAGGTCAACATTACTGGCCTCACAAGCCGTTCAGTTCCTGTCGGTTCTTCATTGTCCAACTCCATTGAGCAACAGTAAGAAAAAAAATGAATAAAAGAGAAAATATGTTAACAATATGTTATCATGTTATGACATACAGTCAGAAACTGTAAACATGATAAACATGATAAACTCTACCTTTAGTCTCAGATCTCTGTCTTACTCCAAAAGCTCCTCAGCAGCTGTGAAGATCCACGGTGCACAGTGGCTTCTCTCTCCAATTCAGCGCTCACCTTAAAAAACAGAATGACAGACAAAATGTTTACATGAGTTTTATTGATACATTGTAAAATATTTACTTATATAAAAAAAATTTACTTAAAATTGTACTTAATTAAAATAGTAAATTACTGCTCCTAATGATGTGACAATAAAGTGATTTGGTAACTTCGTTTATAAATAGACAAAAGAAGCTAAAGTTACTTTGTGAATTACATCCTATACAGAAATATATCACAATTATTTAATTAACAAAGTTGGACAATTTCAACACTTACCGATAAATCCGTTTGGATGAGACCACGACATCTCCGCGTTGAAGCGAGTCGGCGTTGTTTGAGTCGAGTGACTCGGTTCGGTTCTAGGAATCGGCTCACTTAAGTGATTTGTAAGAGTCGAAACCGATTGCATTTTTGTGTAATTACCAACACGATTGATTAGCATATCGCTATAACTTAGTCACACGCATTTACACTATACACTAATTACACGTTGATGACTATAAGCTTTTGAACACGTGCGATAAAAAGATTCCCGATCTCCCAGCAAACAGTTCAATCCAAAAACGGTTCAATCTCACACTGAACAGAACAATACAATAATCAATACTGCTCTAAATGTACCATGAAATAAAGTTTTAACGGTTGTTCATGCGAGAATGTAGTTTTTTAAAACTCAAATCCGCTGTTAATCTCTAAAGATTGTGCGTATTTTTAAATGTCCTTTGAAAATTGCTGACATGTCCACCTCCAGGTCAGGACGGGCGCTCATCACTCGTGTCCCCGGCGAGGGCAGCTGGTCCTCGGCGACTTGTGTGCCCCTGGCTAATCTGAAAATGCTCATTTTAATCACGTTGGATTTAATTAATATTTTCTCTTCTAAAAACTATTCAAAAATAACAGCTAAATTCTTATAATAAAATTAATTAGATTTTATTACAGACATTTTAAAATTAATTTCAAAGCAAAAAAATGCCCTAAAATCAGGAAATTATTTTAATTAAATAAAGTGTACATATTAATATTAATGAAATCTACAAGGCCACAAAATGACTTTTTACAGTGTACAGTATACACTTCTACAGAACAGTACCAACGTTTGCTGTTTTGACATTGAATGAGTTGAATGTATCTTGTCCTTGGTTTAATTTTCATCCTGTCTCTAAGGAACATAATGCCAATATACTTAATTTCTGTTGTATTTTGTGTCTTTGTTTTCATAGAAAGAAACAGAAGGCATAGTTTAAATGGCATCCCTCCCAACAGTAAGTCAAAAACGATTGGTGTAATGCACTGTTTAGTACTATCAGAGCATCACTCTGCATTATGAGTTTATATAGCTTCTCTTGCTGTATCTATAGCTGGAAAATGTGAAGAAATGAAGCACTGCTTGATTTGAGCATGCTCAAATTGAGCATGATTTGAGACAATTTTTGGAAATAGGTTAAGCTCCCATCCATTAGATATCCAATGTAGTTTACTTTCAGTTTACTTACTAAACTACTGTATGTTTGGAATTTCAAAGTCAAACTAGTGGCGTACAGATGTTTATTAATAAAACTGAGTATTTATTATATAAGTAACATTTATTTCAATATTGTTACGATTTCACTGTTTATAAACTGTATATAATTACTTTGAAATGTTTTATTGATTTATTTATTTACATCATGGGTGCACGGCGGCACAGTGAGTAGCACAATCGCTTCACAACAAGAAGGTCGCTGGTTCGAGCCTCGGCTGGGTCAGTTGTCATTTCTGTGTGGAGTTTGCATGTTCTCCCCATGTTGCCGGGGGTTTCTTCCGCGTGCTCAGGTTTCCCCCACAGTCCAAACACATGTGGTACATGTGAATTGGGTAGGCTAAATTGTCCATGTGTGTGAATGAATGTGTATGGGGTGTTTCCCAGTGATGGGTTGCAGCTGGAAGGGCATCCACTGCGTAAAACATTTGCTGAATGAGTTGGCGGTTCCTTACGCTGTGGCAACCCCTGATAAATAAGGGACTAAGCTGAAAAGAAATTTAGAGAATGATTGATATCACACAATAATCATTATGATTAATATACAGAGTTCTGTTTTATTGTCTGTTTGTTTGACATCTTGTGTTTCAGTGAGCGATGCGGCTCCTCTGAGGATTGTTCTTCTGGGTAAAACTGGTGTTGGTAAAAGTGCAGTTGGAAACACAATCCTGGGACAGGAAGAGTTCAGATCTGTGAGTAGGATGAGTTCAGTAACCAGTGAATGTTCAGCAGCTCAGGCCACAGTTTCAGGCAGATCTGTGTCTGTAGTCGACACTCCTGGATTATTCGACACGAAGATGAAACAAGAAGACTTGGCAAAGGAGATCGCCAGAAGTGTGTGGTTATCCAGTCCTGGACCTCACGCTTTCCTCATTGTGTTTCCTGTGATCATGAGATTCACTGAACAGGAGGAACAGATTCCTCAGATGATTGAGAAGATATTTGGTGAAGAAGTGTTGAAATACTCCATCATTCTCTTCACTTATGGAGATCAGCTGGATGGAGAGTCTGTAGAGGAGCAGATAGAGGAGAACTGTAGATTAAGATCTGTAGCCCAGCAGTGTGGAGGCAGATATCATGTGTTCAACAATGAAGATGTGAATAACAGAGAGCAGGTGGAGGATCTACTGCAGAAGATTGACTCAATGGTACAGCAGAATGGAGGAGGACACTACAGTAATGAGATTTATAAAGACGTTCAGGAAAGTGATGGATTTGAAAATTTTTTTATTAAGTACTGTCCTTATTTTTCTGCAGCTTCTGCTATTGCTGGTGGAGCTGCTGGTGCTGTTGTTGGTGCTGTTGCTTTAGGTGGAATTGTTGCTGCTGGTGTTTTTGCTGCCCCTATGGCTGTAGCATGTGCTGCTGGTGTTGCTGGTACAGCTTATTACATGAACAGCAGCCAGAAAAAGGAACAGTCAAAAAAACAACAGTAGGAAAAAGTAATGGGAACAGGAGCTTGAGAGCAGAAAACTATCAGGAAGAAAGAACATTTTTAGAGTAAGAATGTCTGCCAAGAAGGAAAGATAAGATTCAGAGATAAATGAATTACCCATGATTTGAGACAATTTTAGGAAATTTGTTAAGCTCCCATCCAGTACATATTCAATGTGGTATATTGATAGTTTACTTTCAGTTTACCTACTAAACTACACTGTTAGACCTTTCCAGGCTTTTTTACAGAAGAACACTGGCAACACTGTTGCCAGCTACTCACTGTAAAAGTTTAGTTACAGTAAGTAACTGGCAAAAGTGTTGCCAGTTAATTACTGAAACTGAACCATTACAGTGAGTGGCTGGCAACAGTGTTGCCAGTTATTTACTGTAACCGAACCGATACAGTTAATTACTGTAATAGAGCAGCAGTGGTAACTAACTGGAAACTGTGTACAGTTAATTACTGTACTGTAGTGTTACAACTCACAGCATTATACTGCATACACAATAGTATGTCAAGGTGTTACTAAAATTAATTCGTTTATTTAGAAGTTATTAATTCTTTAAATTAATTAAGTTGTAAATTCTGACAAATTTATTTTATTGTTTTGGCAGCAAACAAATATAAGACAGAAAATGTATAACAAATTAAGAAATCAGCAGATATAAATATCATCTTACATATTACTTAGAGTCCCAGGTCTGCACAGAAAGGCTGCAGTCAAACTAACATTTAAGCATGCAAAATTCTGTCATATGGCTCTGCGAAAAGGAATGGGATTAAACAAAATATTTAGAGATTGAAAAAGCAAGCAACTGGTCCATAATTTTTGTTCAGAGAGGTCATGGTTTGATCTTTGATTAGTCTCAAGCAATCACATGATGTGATTTCACAGGTCAGAGATCTCCAAGCTTGATCTTTCCAATGCTGCAAACTGTAAAACTTGTCGCATGAGCTTGCATTCCAGGTCAGCAGTACTCACATGCGTATGAATGGAAGTCTATAGGGAGAAAAGTGCAGTGTGACCGGGACTTTAAGCTGTAACTCTAATTAAACACACCTGATAAAACTAATTAAGGCTCGTTAGAAGTCTACAGGTAATGTTGAAGCAGGGTGGGAACTAAACTCTGCTGCCCTGCAGTTCTCCAGGAACTTGAAGTTTGACCCCCATGGTATATAGCAGGGGTGCTTAATCCTGTTCCTGGAGATCTACCTTCCTGCAGATTTCAGTTGCTACCCATATCAAACACACCCGCCTGTAATTATCACGTGGTGTTCAAGTCCTAATTAATTGGTTTAGGTGTGTTTGATATGGATAGCAACTGAAATCTGCAGGAAGGTAGATCTCCAGGAACAGGATTAAGCACGCCTGGTATATAGCATACTTTTAAAGCAACTGCTAACATTTATCACAATCACATATCCAATAAACACACAAACACACACACAAAGTGCTGCAGTGAAATGTGTTACTCTCTCCTCAATGCAGACCATGCAAAAAAAAAAAAAAAAAAAAAAAACTGAACAGCAAAAAACAAAATAATTATTTTAAGTTTTAAAGTTTTAAATAATTAAAAGCTCTGTCAAATCTCAAAAAGTTTAAAATAATTATAGAAAACAAAAATAAAGTTGGCAACACCGAAAAACCAAAGGATCCAATCTTTTATTGTTATAATTATCTCATGACAACAAACTTTTTTATTGTTTCTAATATAAATTCATAGGTGGAAACACAGCTCTGAAAAATACTTAGCAACAAACTCACAACCTGGCACCTGACAGTGGAGCTTTTGTGTGTGGATGGCTATGTGTATTATGTCATCACAGATTCCCTGTGATGATGTGCACATGTTCCCTTAATGAGATGATGGAATTTAATTTTGGCTTAGTTGCCAGAAAGAGACATACAACTGTTAGCATCTGTACATTATGACAGTATGCAATATCCAATAAATACATATACTTAAACAAAAGTAATGTAAGAAGTTATATGAGGAGAGGCTAACTAGCTAACAATGTAGCTTTCAAGTACACAGTTCAAGATAACAACAATATAACTTAAAACACAGGCTTATTTTATAAACCCTCAAAAACATTTGAACACATTTTACTTACTCATTGTAGATTCTTATTTAAAGCCTAAAACATCAGACTCTACATCTGAATTGATAGACAGAGAATAGAGCACACTCAGCAGTAAACAAATCAAACACCTGGCTCCCTTAAAGGGCCAGCATTTTCTGAAAACTCTTTCTAACACCTTTGTGTTTAGAATAAGACGGACAGCCTGTGGGAGTGTGTGGTGATGCCTAAATCATTGTTTTTTTTACAGTTATTTACTACACAATCTACAGAGTGACAGTGCAGTTATACTAATTAAACACACCTGATCAAACTAAATCTAAAGGTAGTGTGTTGAAGCAGGGCTGGAACTAAATTCTGCTGGGCTGCGGCCCTCAAGGAGTTTGAAATCCCTGGTACATAGCATATTTTCAAAGCAACTGCCTACATTTATCACAATCATGCACATATCATTAAATAAAAACAATAAAAATATAAAAACTTCATCCAAAGCAAAAAAATAAATAAAAAAAATAATAATAATAATAATAATAATAAATAATCTGATCCTCATGTTGTTCCAAACCTGTAGTTATCAAAAATAAATAAATAAATAAAATAACCTGATTAATACATTTATTTAGGAAAGCCTTTATACTATACTGTTAATGCCACTTTTACACTTCATTTGAAGTTTTCCAAACAAATGCTGTTTAAGATATTTTTTATAAGATACGTGCTGTTTAAGATATTTTTTAAATAACACAATTTTACTAGTTATTTAGCAAAATACTAATATTCAGCTTAAAGTGCAATTTAAAAGCTTAACTATAGGCTAAACTAGGCAAATTAGATTAATTATAGTAAAGTAAACAAAGTTATAAAAATACTTGTGATAATTTGGTTGCTCTGTGTGAATATTTTTGCCTTTAAATGCATCTCGTCGATATCTTTACCTTTTCATTAGCTCATTGACATTGGTTGACTCCTGATACTCAATGTTAAAAACACAAAAGTATATATATAGCAACATAAAGCATCAGAGTACATGGGGTAATAATGGTTGAGCAGTAATTTACCATTTATTATCACAGTAACTATCTGTAATGGGTACATAAAGTAAATTACTGTAATTTATTCTTTGCACTACAAAATCTCATACAAATCCTGCTCCTTTTACAGTAAAATACTGTTTCCTTTTATTACAGCAAAACACTGGCTATTTTACAGTTATTTACTGCATAATCTACAGTAAGGGTTAACAGTGTACTGTATGTTTGGAATTTAACTGTTTCCCCAAAAAGAGCAGAAACTATCTGTTAATTCATCTCTGTCAGCCATATTCATTACTTTATGATGTTTTCTGTCGTCTATATTTGTTCTGTCAGTTATTAATCCAGTATTTAGTCATAGTTTGTCATTCCTGGTCTCCTATTCTTTCAGTCATTTATTGTACTCTTGTGTGTTGTTATGGTTTTGAATACTATGGTTCCCAATGGGTCATATTATCATCTAATAAAATGCTTCTGTCTACATTTGTTGCCCACATTATTTATTAGTCCCTGTAAGGGTTGGAGTGACCTGAGGTGATTAGGACTCAAACACAGGAACAAAAGAGGTGTTTATTTGATAGTAATACTACATAACCAACAAAAACTGCTCAGATAGGCAAAACAATAACTGAAGCAAAACCTGGGCTGGAAAAGACAGTATGAGCAGGGACACAGGGGTAACATTGACAAAAAATTTAACCAGGACAGCAAACACTGTCAAAACAAGTTTACATGTGTAAATTTCTTTCTCTCTTTGTCTGATGACTAGGGGTGTAACGAATATGCATCGTGGCGTTATGACGATTTGATTACGATATGGCGTCCATTTTCTCTTATTAGTTGAGCTGTTTGCACGTGAGCTACGTTCCACCTGCTGTTGCACGTGAGTTCAGATTGCAGCAGCAGTAATGTTAGCAGACCAAGATGAGTGGAGCTGAAATAGAGGATGGCCCATCCTCTCAAAATCAGACAACATTTCGGTTGTACAGTCATTGCTTTAGACTCGTCCGCTTTTTGACACGCATACTGGGTCAAACATCCTAAGTTTTAAAGTCTTCACAGTGATTTACATACTTTGCTCAGCGACATGGATAACCTCCTAATGGTGTTGAAAGAGTCACATACTGTATTTATAAGGTACAATTCACCCTAAAATATAATTCTGTCTTCATATAATGTTCCCGCCGCAAAATCACACATGACGTGAGCTGACCGAGAGCTGTTACTACAGTCCGCCCTATGATAGACATGCGCGTATGGCAAGCCGCTTTAGCATTTAAACTCTTGTTCTGACTATCCATAAATATATTTTGGGATATCTCTAATTATATTTTGACTAGTCATAATTATAATTCGACTAGTCAGAATGACAATTACAGATATCTGCAATTACAATTGTACTAGTATGAAATCAGATTGGAGATATCTGCAAATATATTATGACTAGTCATATTCCTTTTATATTATATCGTGATACACATCGTATCGTGAGCTGAGTGTATCGTAACACCTCTACTGATGACAATTGCTAAGTTCACTGTTACATATTGGCCCAATCCCAATTCTCCTCCTTAGCCCTTCCCCTTACCCCTACCACTCGTTTTGTGTGTTCCCATGAAGGGGTAGTGGTGTCCCAATTTTCTTTAGCTTGAAGGCGTAGATTTTCTATAATCCCTAAAATTACTCCTGTACAGCAGTCCCACAACATTCTGACACTCGATGAAACTCCAATAACCTGTCAGAAAAGTCTAATGGCTGGGAATGAGCTATTTACAGTGTCCGCTATCATGGTAATGATGTTTTCTTGTGTTTACATCGATGAATATGGCCTTGGTGTTAAATGCACTGTATATTTACAATCTTAATGCCATATTATATCATAATAAATGTCTTCAGTTCCTAAAGATAAACACCAAAAAATAACACAATTGGAATAACTGCAGCAGTCGTCATCGTCTGATCTCACATAAAGCAAGAGATTGTGATGACACATGATGTTGTGTGCGGGTGCTGTAGTGTTTTTCCCAATTCTTAGGGGTACATTTTGAAGCCCTTCCCCTTCACACTCGGTTTTAAGGGCCAAGGGGAAGAGGTAGGGGTACAAAAATAGAATTGTGACTAGGCCATTGTTTAGATTT